CTAAAGCCTGTTTACCGTCGTTTTCACCAGACGATGTATCAATTGTTATGATAATTAGCATGGCAATACATATAACACTGCGTGCGTTAAATAGCATGATACCTATCTACGTATTATGTCCTTATCTCAGAAACTGCAAGGCCGTAAGGAGGGGCAAAGATCACGCCAGCAAAACCCCTGAATAACAATTTAAATTATTGGGAACAAATTCATGAAGAAAATAGCAAGAATAAGTAGTTTTTTTTAAGGCTGGAAAATCATCGAATGGCTTCTCCCGCCTAGGTGAGGCGGGAGGGAGTGTCAGACTCTTACTGACTAAAAATCACCCTGTCCCTACTCCTGCACTTCGAGCCGGAGCCCCGGTAACTCATTAAGTTCTCCGCGGCTCCGTATCGGCATCAGCCCTATTGGACCCCATCTGTGGTGGTCTGAATCTGATGGCTCTTTAAGACGCGCACGGTACGCGAAGCATGGCTCACTTCTTTCAACATTCCCTGTCAAATGTGCGATACCCCCGGGAAGAGAGTAGCAAATGTGTTAATGTATAATGACTGTAGAGTGTACACGGCTTATTTTTCAAAAGTATTTATAACTGTGCGTGTAATAAATATAAGTATAAATTTATTGTCACTTTATGAAAATAATCCACTTTCATATCCGCATGATATCGTTACGCATATTCCAAAATAATCGTCAATTTACTTGTTATCTTGCGTGCTGTAAAAAGTAAGTTAATTTATGTAATGTGTAGGTGATAGTACCAAATAATGTGTACGATATAACTCATTATGATAACCCTCTAACTTGGGGGTGATCTGTGATGTATCATAATGTATCAAAACCAGAATCATCTCGAAGTGATGATACGGATATTGATCATATTCTTTTTACTTCCAATAAGTATTTATAGCACAAAATAACTATTACCTTTTATTTATTGGGTGGCCCACGGCCGTAAGCAACCTTACGAGCATTGGACTTAAATGTTCTATTCCTATCGAACAAAGCATGACTACAATTTTTCGGGTTTTATAGTGTTTAAAACATGGAATCTAGAATTGTGTTAGATATATGTATGGCTGAAAGCTCTTCTTCCCCTTTTCTACATGGTGCTCACAAATTGTGAGAAGTGATTTGCACATCCTATTAATATTTAGTTACTTATACCTACTACACTTTAAAATTGTATTTAATTTGCAGTCTTTTTGAGTCTATTGATTTCTTATGTAAGCTTTTACTATGTGACTGTTTGTTTCCTAAATAAAATAATTTAAATAAAAAATATTATAAATGCGGAAATTTGTATGTTTGTTTGTTTGTCCTCCTTCACGTTAAAATGACTGTAGCTATGGTCTGGAATAACATATACGTAGTTTCCTTTTTATCCTACGGGAACACGAGCAAAGCGGCTAACAGCGATTAAAAGGAGTAATTTTATGTAGGTATACGGCACAGACTTTAATTCAGACGTCTGGAGTATATTTTCTGAGAATTTCGCAACCAAAAAACCCGATTAATATTTTTCCTCGACGCGACGCGGCAAACGATAGTTAGGAAGCAGTTAATTAATAGCCACGTTTGATCAACACGATAGAAGATCTTCGAGACAATTGTGGTAAAACAACAATTGAAAATGTCTAAGGATCTTTTAGTTCTTTTTTATAGAATAGGAGGCAAACGAGCATACGGATCACCTGATGGTAAACGATCAGCGGCGCCTATGGACACCCGTAACACCGGAGCCACAGGTGCGTTACCAGCCTTTTAAAAAGGAATAGATACGCTCTTTTCTTTAATTGGTAATGAGTTATGTTTACTTTATTAATATCGTACTGGTTACAACACCTCAAATTAACAGCTTTAGACAGTCCTCTGTTGGACTACGGCCCTCTTCTACATAAAATAGGGGTTTGCTATAAACTCTACACATACAGAACACATAAAGAAGGCATGTTCTGTGGTCTCTACTCTTGACAGGTAGGTTGGAGATCGTAAGGTATTGTATCCAATACACTGATTGTTATTATAATGGCTCTGAATATTCTTCTCTGATATTACTAACAGTTCTATTTTCTTTATTAGCTCCATCTAATTTGCGGACAGAAACGATAACTTTCATTGATTTAAGTCAATAGTTGTATTTAATGACGTTTGTAGTTCTTTAGTAGGTAAGTACTTTGTCTTTTGCCAGTCATACCTAGACTGTAGATATGTATAATCCACGCTGACTAACAGAAAAAACCTCATTATGAAAACTACGCTCCCTACAACGCTCATCTTAACGCCTTTTATAAATTGAGAAAAGTATATTTTAATGGATTATGGAATAAAGAGCAGACGGATCACCTGATAGTAAGCAATCAACGCCGCCCATGGACACCCGTAACATCAGAGGAGTCACAATGGAGTCTATTTTAGCAATAAGACTACTAAGCAGTAGGAGATAGGTCATCAAAATGGGTAATTACTTTTTTCAATTGAGAGTAAGGTACTGTTAAAAGTTGGGGGTAAAGTGAAACCAAATAAAAACAATTGTATCTCATGCAAAGTATGTGTATTGAGATTTCTGATAGTAGAAATTCTTTGTAAGTACCTAATAGCTTAGATTTGTTATTTAGAACAGTATTAATGGTAAGTATAAAAGGGTGTTAGAATCGTAATTGTTGCGCTTCACTCTTTTGATAAACTACAAAATAATAGTACTTATATACCTAAATTACAAAAGCAATTCGCATATCGTCTGTTAATATATATATTAGCAGGAAATCATGACAATTTCGACCTTAAATATCTTAATGTATGTACCTATTACCTAAGATTACTGGCTGATACATTGGTGAGATTTTCCTATTTACATGAATCTTGCTTTCCACCTTATTTCCTTATTAATTAAGGTTTGTTTAGTTCATTGAGAACGTCAATGAAGGTGGTTGGCCATAAAAGACAACGAAATACAAATTTGTGGTGGCCGTTTTTGTATGAAATAAGGTCTTCTAAGAGACACACTGTGGACAATTTCACGCTTTGCAGGAGCAATTGGTAATCATAAACCAAGTGAAATGTACTTTACCTAATCCGAGATTGGATTTTAAGGCTCCTGTTCATAGTAATAGAAACATTCTAACGAATTAAACTTACCTGTTTAGGATATACTTACCTGATTATCTATGATTAACCTGTTTCTTGCTGTCAATTCAACAGCTCTTTAAAACTTGTATCTATAGGTACTTTAAGAATGAAATAAACAGAATCATCAATTCCTTAACCTTAGAGAAAATATTTAACTACAAATGTTACCATCTGTCATATAGGTATATTTGTATGTCCCGAAAGAAAAATTGGAGATTTCTGCCTGTCCTTTTAGGGAAAAAAGCGTGAAGCTACGTTAAGTTAGTGCACATTTTTTACGAACACTTATGATTGCTTAAAGGAAAATGTGTAGGCGCAACATCAACCCGTCTCTCTCACACTCATGCACTTTAGTACCATGACGTCATAGTTGTTTTTATGCATTCATTTTGTAACTGTTTATTTAACGGAGTAACCCCCTGATATTTTCTTAACCTTCGAATTTGTGTGTGATGATTTTGACTAGTGATTTACTTGATTTACGAGAATTTTTAAATAATGTAACACGTGAAGCGTAAATTTAATTAATATTATGTTATTATAGCATACGTGTCCATACTGTTTATACTCTACGCTTGTAGATCAAAGGTGTGACTCTATGGTCCCTTGATTGACATCTTGAATAAATTCTGGTACCTACTTACCTTTACATATTATGCAAATCAGTAGTAATTACTTTTATAGGGGAAGCATTTATTAAACGTAGTCGTCATCATTTTAATGAAAAGGGCTTTTTTGAAAAACACTGTAACCATCTTTATTCTTTGGACGCGTCCAATCAGATGTACAGCTAATTCTGCTAATAAGTTTAGCTCTGTTTGTATGACCTAGGTATTCCCGGGGTACCATGGCGATAAGGTAAAATCTAATCGATATTCTATAGACGTAAGATGGTGGCTATTTAACCATTGTTAAAACTCTTGCTCGCCTTAATGTTTTCCCCGTGTGACGCGACCACGCAGCCATCTTTGATCTTTGTTTAGTTCAATATTTAAAGGTGCGTTCACACGCACTGGACATGCAAGTGGTGCGTGTTGCACACCCATGTCAAATACTCGTCCGTGGTCTGTAGTCAGCCTTGTATTGCATAAGTATAAGATTCATACGAGCCTTTGTTCTTCAGATTAATCCAAAATGATTTTAAACGCGCATAAAATTAAATTAACAAGTACAGGTTTCTAAAAATGTAGTGGGTAAACACTTAGCTTAGGTTAGAGCGCATCAACTTCTCGGTATCAGATGTTATTGTCAAGGTCAGACAATAAGCCGAAGCAATTATTATGTTATGAAATCAAAGTAAACAAATAAGAAACTTTTAAAAACGTTATATCCATATCAATCAACATACGTAAATGTATCCTATGTGTTATGAATTTATGATGTCCTTATCTATAGTAGTAAATCCACAAATCATTTATTCCATGTTTTCTTAAGAGAAACAAATAAAAAACTACAACCAAACATACCTAATACCTAAATCTTGTTGGCTCAAAAAAGAACCGAATACGAGTTTACTAATCATTAAAAAAATGTTATCGTTAAACTCATCTCAGCTCTGTAAACAATATTATGTCGAATATTTATGAAGAAACTATTACCTAAAGCAGGAAAATATGAACCAATTATTTCGCTAAACATGACGGCATAGCTTCTTCAGAAAAGGATTGTGCATACGACAAACATAATAATATGCAGGCAAAACGGACGCATTTTGTGGTTATCATAACAAGGTGGTGCCAATATAAATAAAATTAATGTGCGCAAGCTCCGATATGTGTAAATATCGCAATATGTGGATGTGAACACAGCGGGTCGGCAAACAGCACGCTGAGGAAATCGCTTTGTTTACATAGATGTGATTAAATGCTCACCTTTGACCACCTCGGTGTTGTCGATGTTCTGGGTGACCGACACAAACTTGGGCCCGATGTGCAGGCGCGAGGACTTGGTGACGTTGATGTTGGTGACGCCGGGCTGCGCGCGCGACGCCGCCTCGATCACCCGGTCGTCCAGCACCACCACCTCGGCTCCGGGCGACCGGCCCATGGCCACCTCGTGGCTCGGCAGCTCACGCCGAGGGTCTCCTTCGTTCCACATTGTTCACACAGACTGTTTATCGTTCTCTGTGACGGTCGTGGAAAACCCGACCATAAAGGCGTGACGTAATCTGGTGATTAACTGTTCGGACGTCAACTCGCTTCGTTGTCCGCAGCGCGACTAACTTCGCGGCTTTGAATGCGGCCGCCATTGATAAGTTTTGCAGTCCAATGTATTCGCTTATCTGCATTCTCTTTAGCGAGCAGACACTCAAACTTGCTAATCACCAGTATTATAATTTTATCTCTTTGTTATTTTTTTATTTAATTAAGTACTTATTTCTATTATTGGGATATCCTAAATTAATAATTACTTTGGTTAATATTCAATTATGTAGGATGGTACCATTAGAAGTTTTATCGCTAATTATGTTATCAGCTCGTCTGGCGATAAAAAAGCAAAATGAAACAAGTGTAACAAGTTTTCCTAGATAGGTGGCCTTTGCTGGAGATAGATTATAGGTTATAGGTAAGTACGTAACTTGCAATTTTTATCTAGGCAGATAAGAATTTAATTTAAACACCTCAGGTACTTCTATATTCTCCTTATTTTTAAGAACTCTTTATCATTTCTAAGCGCGATCGTATAAACGGACTGTAAAATTACCCAATATATATGTACCTACCTATCGGTCATGTAAAGAGAGCTACAATTAGATAATAATCTACATATGTATGTACACTCGTACAGCGGTCTACTGCTATCACGACACAGATGAGAATTGCTGGCGGGGATGTATCCTTGGACGGTATCTAATTTAACTGTATTTTATTAACATACATAATTTTGAACGATAGAAATCTCGTAGTATTACCTATATTTATTATATTTACCGGCTTGACAAAAAGGAGGAGGTACTATGTTCGGCTGATTGTTTTTTTGTTTGTTCGCCGATTATTATACATTGATTTAATTATTGTTTAAATCATGTTTATAAGTGGGGTAAATAAAAAAGGGTAACTTATATAAATAGTCTTCCGATGACCAAAATTAAAATGGTGGCTAAGCTATGATAGTCATGTTTTTAATGAATTCATAAAGTCATTCATGTTTTAATAATGAATTATATCTGTGAACACTCCGCGTTTTTTCGTTCAACGAGTATTTGTTATTACTATTCTCGATATTATGATTGAAGCGAACCGGTTTTTTATATGAACATAATAATATATATTGATAATTTATTACCAAGAATTATGATGACGGAACTGAGATTTCTCGTAAAGATTAAGATATCCTACTTAAACCAAATATTTAAGAAAACATTCGCATTCTGCGCTAGAGCACTAGTGTAGACACTAGAAATGTTGACTGAGACAGAGAAAGCTGTTTGAGTTGACTTAGATTCATAGTTTTGTTGGAGGGGTTTATGCCTAAATCAATTTCAAATATAGGAGAGCCATGCTTCGGCACGAATGGGCCGGCCCGACCGGAGTGATACCACGGCCTCACAAAAAACCGACGTGAAACAACGCTTGCGTTGTGTTTCGTCGTGAGAGTGAGGTTACCGGAGGAGTAAGGTTACCCCCCCCCCAATCTTAGAGAGATCCCTGAATCCCCAACAATCCTCAAATTCTGCCGCCTCTAGTGTTCCGGGTGTCCATCACGTGATCCGTCTGCTCGTTTACCGGCTTATCCCATAAAAAATATTACTATAAATCCACAATTTGGCTGTGTGTTTCATCATATAAGCTATGAATCTCGAAATATTGTATGGATCCTATCGGACAGTGTTTATTAGGTACGTTTATCTTCTACAAGTCGCATTATGTTGTTAAGGTAACACTAGTTTACATTTGAAGTATTTTCCTTGATGTCTGCCCGTCTAGTATCTAAGTAGTATATGACTATAGAGTAATTATACTGTACAAAAGATATTATAATATATTCTAGTGTTGGAGTACGACGGGAGAAGTCATTGGATGATTTTTCTTCCTCAATAATCGATAATGATTTTGGTACAGAGGACCTGCTGATATAGGCAGAAAATAAAAATAATCAACGAAAAAAATTATGTAAGCATAATGCGTAAAGCGTAATTGTCCATCGGTTTGATACTACTCAAAGTATGCGAACAAAGAAGCACCCAAGTACTAAGAAGAAAAAGTAATAGAAAGAACAGAAAACTCAATGTAGGATTGACGTTAATATGAAAGTTTACGTTATACTTTTCATAGAGTAGAATATTGTCTCGCTCGACTAGCGTTTAGTTACAATTTTAAATGGAAAAAAGAAATGTATCGTACTTAAGACGCAGTATTTTTCTAATCACCAGGCTTAGGACTCCTCACATACAAATAAAACATTAGGTACAAATAAATACACAAACTGATTAGGAGGATTAGTGGTATTGACAATGTAATTGCAAGTTGCATGTAGACGGCGCATTTTATGATTCACCAAGGAGAAGTCTCAATTAATCAATGACAGCAGAGCTCAGTGTTGATTAGCCGTCTTAAACGGGCGTACTTGGACTACTTCTGTAGGATTATCTCAGTGAAGATATGTAATCATGGTCCTCCTTTCCTCATTCTAAGCTTTTGGTACATTTTAATTCATTATTTATTTATTTATTTCTTCTTCACAAAACACAGCAGTGAATGGTGGACTTAATGCCTTAAGGCATTCTCTTACAGTCAACCATAGGGATTATTATTTTTTTATATATAAAAATGAATCCCTTTTTCTCTTGGTCACGCCATCACGCGTGAATGTTTGGACCAATTTCATTAAATATTTTTTTGTTGTAGTTATTTGTTATTATTAGGAGAAGGGGATTGCGCGTACGAAGTCGCGGGCAGAAGTATGGCTAGTATTTTAATAAAATTCGGTTCATATTAGATCATCGATCATGTCCTTTATAGAAAATAAGCACTGTCTGATTGTTTCATTCTGTGATGCTGATTGATTGTACACAATTGTGTTAGGTACACTAGAAATTATTTACATAATTAGCATGAAAAAAGAAGTTAAGAATACCCAGTTAGAAGTCTAAAAACGTGTAAAAAGTTAGGTTTAAATCTTGTATAATAAATATATTGTCAAAGTTGCTTGCGTCAAACTTCAGGAAAACTCGTTCAGCAAAACTGGATATATTTTCTTCTTTTCTTTTACTTTTTCCAGTCCCATTTGTTATTGATGACAGTAATTAATATTTATCCGCTCTTTAGTTGCTTGTCCCTTATTGCTCTTTAAAGTTTTATACCTTACTAGCTATTTGCGCGCGGTTTCACCCGCTCTGCTCGGCTCCTATTGGTCGTAGTGAGATGTTTTATAGCCTATAGCCTTCCTTGATAAATAGACTATCCAACACAAAAAGAATTATTCAATTCGAATAAGTAGTTTCGGAGATTAGCGCGTTCAAACAAATAAACAAAAAAAACTTTAGCATATATAGCAAGTTTTAGACAGAACTGTTGATGATTGATTCTAGGTAATAAGGTCAAAATAAGACTGGAAATAGTTAACCTCCTATAACTTAGGACTTCCTTAGATTTTGACCCCATGGTGGAAGATTCGGGATTGATCGCAAAGGTCTGTCGGACTCTTTTTATAGCATGTGAAGTAGTGGGTAGACTGAGGAAAATCACACCTTTTATCCTCGATGGGGCAGGCAGAGGTGCACAGTACGGCACTTACTGCCACTGTACTTACAATGTAACCCCCACTTTTCACTATTTATATTACGAGTCCCTTGTAATAGGGGGTGAGCCTATTGGTACCAGGCACATTTCCAGACTCCGTGCTATTACTGAGAATTTTTTTAAAACCGAGTAATACTTTGCCCTACCCGGGAATCGAACCCAAGACCCCTTGCTCGTCAGCCGCACTTGCGATCACTCGGCCATCGAGGCAGTCAATTTGATTATACATATATAAAAACCATTTAATAATATAAAAAGCAGTGTAGAAGTATTATTATGTCGAGTAAAAATAGTATCTTTTGGGAAAGTTCAGATACTATGTTATTTTACGTCAGCCTTCGAGAACTGCATATAGTTCAATGTAATGTTTACTATTATCATATAAAAATGTTCGTTACACTACTATTGCTGCTGTAATGATCGTGTTTTTATGTAAATGCTAAAAAACTGTCATATATGACGTATACGTACCACACTTTTCATTGGCTCTTAAAATATTATGCTCCGCAAACGCAACCTTGACGCTACGTCATACAAAATTTATTGCTCCCAACTTCAATATGTTGACGTGCGTTTATAATTCCGTTTTTTATAATGCCATCACTATTTGTATGATAGTTTCATGAATACCATTCATTAGTTGATGTTTTATCGTTCAAAATTTTCGTCTATCGACTTCATCTTACATTAAATAAGTAGATATTTTATTAAACTTTTTTATTATTGCCTTGTCTGTTTCGTTAGTCGAGTGGCCTTGGGTGAATTCAATTCCCGGCTTACACCAAGTATATTAATATATTGATTGTAAAATAATTATTCAGAATAATCCATACTTAAAACTAGATATATTTTTATAAGTAAAGGACCAATTTAAAAAAGACAGTTGATTATTGAGAATCCTAATAAATAAATAAATGAAAAGGATTTATTTTGCACTAAAAACGGCATAAAGAAACAAATTATGTTCCAACATATTTGCGTTGAGATACGATAAACGATAGCTAGAAGATAAACTTGTGTGCGTTCAATTAATTCTGATAATTTTCTTAGATACGGTGCAATATAGATAGATATGCAGTTTACAAAGCATTTACTCATGTTAACTCGACACAAAACTGAAAATAGATGACTCATAATAAAGTAGATAGACTTTAAAGTAAAAGTAATACGAGAGCTTAGCGCATTCAAACAAACGAACAAACAAACAACCTCATCATCCTTATAGATACCTATGTCAATGGTAACTGTGCCCGCGACTTCGTCCGCGTGGAATAAAATAGAAAAATACGCGTCTATTATTTGTTCATTGCCTAACTGACGGACTAATTATAATTTTTATACTCTGTCGTCATCCCTGTTGGCGTTCCAGTCTCTGCCTACCCTCATGGAAGATAGGCGTGAAGTTATATATGTATCACTTTATTAATTTGCTACAACTAACAATTATTTTGAAGTCAATGTAGTCATTAAAAAT